TAAGAAATAGGCAAACAATTGTTACTTATAATAATATGAACAGTTATAGTTAAAAATATTAGATAATTTATAATGTATTGTTTATTCGATTGATTTTGTAACGAATTGTGTTTTGTGTTTTTAAATAGATTTTTTGTTGAATTTTTAAAAAATAAATACAGTAAGGTTCAGGCAGTGCCACCAAAAAAAATTATTGGAAGTGAATTTTGAAAATTTTGTTCCAACCCATTAAAATTTTAAATGTGGTGGTTGAAAAAAATTAATTCAAATAAACAAATAACATTTTAAGGTTTATAGAAATGTTATTCGATAAACCTTCAACAATAAATATATAACGTCAGTTACAAAAATAAATTAAGCAAAAATAGCAAGATAAAAATGACCAATAAAAAGTGTAAAAAAGTTCAAAAACATTAAAGATTACTTTTTTCACATTCTTTTATTCTTTTAGACTTCTTTGCAATGTTTAGCAAACATAAATTATTATAACGAGTCAATTAATTATGCACAACTTCTTGTTCTGATCACATTTGTATTTTTTGGTTCATTTCATAAAGTTTTGAAATAGTTGTTTGAAGAATGTGAAACCGCCCTGTTTCTTCCATGGATATAACAGTCATACCTCTGATTGATTCGTTTCAATGCCCGTTCCTCCGTGTTAACAAGAAAAGAGATCTCTTGTCGCTAGTCATACCCCATACCAAAGTTCATCCCCTGTTACCACTTTCTCAGTCCTTTTTTCGACTTTTTAACTATTGATAAAGAACTGTTAGTCTTTTTCCCTTTCATGCGTAAACGCTTTTTCAAGCTCAGTTTCTTCTACCAAATCTACATCCGTCTTATAGGATCGATTCACCCTATTCCAATTAATGTTGTCTAGGAACCTTTCTCCTCTTCAGTCCTTAGATATTTTTTTCCTCTTCTAAGTATTTGCTACTTCCACCAAGATCTGTACTCAAGTCTGTTTCAATAGAAATTACTTCTCTACCTTTATCACTCACGTATTCTTGACACCGTGCATTTTCTTACTCCTCATGTGATCTATGTTGTAAATATTTTGTAGATGGAGTTTTTAAAATGTGTAAACTTTTGAGAGAAATTCATTTTTGTTTATTTTTATTATTATTTAGAATTTGTTTGGCGGTGATTTGTTTATTTTTAATTTATAATAACTAAGTCATATGTATATTATTACAAATAATTTAAAATGAATTATAATTTTTATTAAGTTCAATATTTTTATTAAAAATAACAAAAAGCTTTTTATTTTCAAATTATACAACTAGTTTATTTTAATTATAATTATCTAAGAAAAATTGGCATAAGGTGTAATGACCACACTAAATTTACTGTTTTGTTTTATAAATTTATATAAAAATGGCAATATTTTCATTATTATTAAAAACCGCCTACATCAGTCTAAAATTGTATAAATTTGCGGGCACTTGTCATGTTTTAAGAAAATTCGTTATTCTTGGAATTTACAAATTGAAGAAAACTATTACAGTTAGTCGAATCAACCTTCTGCAACGAAACAGCCTTCTGCAGATTGTTTTTCAAAAATAACCATAAATAATAACAATTTAAACCATTTTTAATAGTATTTTTTTCAACTTCAAATGGATATGTTTTTATCTACAGTAATTTTTTAATACACCTTCTGCAGTATATAATTGGTCTTATAAATATCAAAAAGTTAAAATAAAACCAAACTAAAAATGAACAATACTCAGTTAACGAACTTTACTGTTTAACAAGTGATTGACATGTATTGATCATCAAGTCATTCAAGTTCAATCATGTCTTTTTCATATTGCAACTGATCCAATTCTTCTTTTGTTAAAGGCCTTCTTATACCATTATCATCAAACAATGGCATACTTAATATTTCTTTATCAGTTTCACACAATGTTTATTCGGTGATAACTGAAACTTGCGTTTCTTGGGTATTTGTAACAAACAAATTATTTACCGATTGGTTTGGAACAGACATTGGTGTGCTTTTTTCGGTTTCGATTGGTAACCACTGTGTTGATTCAATTTCATTGTATAATTCGATTACTGTTCTTTCGTTTACATCTGTCGCTCTACACAATTCAATTTTGTTTTCAGGAGCTCTGAGTTTTTCCAAAACTTCTAATGGTGGAGTTGAGATAAGAGTTTTAAGAAAAACACTTGCGCTTTCAATGTTGACATAAACTCTTTTTCTTCCATTGTTGATGATACATTTATATCCAGCACGCAAAAATGACGCCTCTATTGTTTCTGGAACTGCTTTTTTATAGATGGTTTTCATTACTTTGTTTATCTGACAAGTAATTAGTGTTCCCCATTTGGCTCTTGAATCCTTTATTGCTCGTTTTGTTATCGGATCTTCCAATGAATTTATCCACTTTATTAATGATTTTTCTAATTTGGATTGGTCTAATATTGGTTGTTCGTCGCTTGTTCTTTGTTGTAAATCATTTGAAA